TTTCTTTTCCAAGTGCAACACCGACAACTCCTCCTAATGACACACCATCGTGAATAGAGTATTGTTTAAGAATAGACTGATGAAGATTTATCCAGTCTACTATCCTCACTTGACGTCATTTTACTAGGTACCTAAACCAGCACAAAATATTCCTTCTGACTTGGTAACAACTTTTGGAATTTCCAAGAAGATGTTCAGCGAATCCAGCACCTTTGATAAATCGTCATGGCGTTATAGTGAACCTTATTTACCACAACCTCACGAATACAAAAATATTATCAACCTTTTTATCATGGCGTTGTAATATGATATGAATCCATACCTAGCGTAAAGTATATCAAACTAATCGTACTAGATTATTTAACTTATAGTGATGGTTTAACTATCCCATTCAAAATAACATACCATAATGACGCATGTCCAAGTCCAATAGATTGGCTAGAATTAAGTATATCTACCAAATTCTATGACCACACGTTCACAATCCTAGCGTAAATAACACTATTACTCCATGATGTAAAAACAGTAGTTAGCTGATCACATGCTTGTATCCCCAACTAAACCACATACCAAATCCTGAAAACTTAATGAAAAATAAACACGTAAGACAAACATAGTACCACAAAATATACTCCTACTCAAGACATCGTTCTTTTTAGGGAAAATCTCCTCTAAAATCAACTTACAAAATTGTTTCAACCAATTTTCTTTTATAATTTCGTAGATAATCATCCAACTTTGAAACATAACCTCTAAACATAGCTTAAAAATAACATATGTTTGCCTAAGCAAATTCTAAGGGCTTAACCCTCATCGTCCTTATATGCGAAATGTAGACTGTCTAACTTGGCTTTATAAAGCAAATTAGAACGTCACAACGTAATACCAATGCTCTCCTGAAAGTGATATGAAATCATGCATTTTGTTCTAATAAGAACTCCATCAGATCCCCAAACTCCTGAAGAGTACTTCTTATATACATCTTTTAGAGATGACAATAAAGTTTAACTATATGTTAGATTGATTAACATTAATTTTACTAATATCATTCGCTATATCACTAGCAAATAAGATCACCCTTGCGCGATCATTCATCTTCAAGATTTAGTACCCTCCTTCTTGGATACTCTACAATCTCCTCTATTATGATCCTCTTCGGGCTCCTCCTCTTTGCTTTTCTCCTTTTTGAGAATAACTGAGGTCGTGTAGGCCCCAAGACATGGTGACCTATCACACACACTTAAATCATTCCTTGGCTTATACTTTAAAGTAGCGCCAACATAAACTAAACCTTCGATCCCTAATTGTACCATCTGGTCAAAGAAATCGATTATGTACCCCTTTACTTCTTTGGGACTTTATCGCTTTCGCCTTGGACCCTATCCTCTTCCTAGTGCCAACCATTCTGTGACTACAGAATATAATTGAAATTAGCTTCTCTTAACGAACCGTAAATAGAGTACAATGAATCCTAATATGGGCTTTAAGTTTTAAGAGATGTAATGCAGAAATCACATAAAGAAAGACACTCTTAAGGACACTTGAACCTGGAGTGCTCTGATACCAACTGTGATACCCCCGAATTACTGAATGCAGGTTGGTCAAGCCCACGCCCGAACGCCTGGGGATATCAAAACAAATCGGTAATAAACGAACACAGAATACAAGAGGATAAATAATAATAAATAAAAATGCTGAAATAAACACTAAAATGATAATCTAATAAACCCTCAGAATAAATTTTTATTAAATAATAAAATATTCTGATACAATAAATCTTCCAATACAATTCGGGAATCCATACTGTGTGGACCCCTAGAAAATTACAATTGAATAAGTAACCATAATGTCTGTCTACATTTAAAAGATGAAACATAAATGAATCTCCTAAGTAGACTCGGAAGAGTGAAGTAGACTGATCCCTGCTCAGCACGAACAAACCTCTACACCTGAAGAACACCTGAAAAATAATGGTGGGTCAGACCCACAAATAAGTTCTACTCTACTACAGTCCAAGCAGAGATCCGATACACGTATACATCCTAGTCAATCCAACAATAACTAGTAGTCCGTATATATATATATATGCACACACACACACACTAAAAGAACCTCACTAGATTATAGGGTTGCCTCAACTTGAATAGTAGGCAACATGCAAAACGTATGTATAGTGGGCATAAATACCTATATCTACCAGGGCACATAATTATACTATATCTAGCTACACATCCCTGGCAATATACACACCCTAACCACTGATCCTGAGGCTCAAGCTCATATCATGGCATATATCTATATATATATATAATATTTTATCCACTATAAATTAATCCACTATGTATCATCCAACTTGTTTAGTTGACCTGACTCGAATATAAGTAGGACTTAACATTTTAGTTAATCCATTCACTTATACAAAAATAGGTAGAACTTAACTGATAAGTTAATCTGTCCATAGAATGATACCATCCCATATTGGTGCATTACATCCACACAATCCAATAATTGATGTAACAAATAAAATAATACATCAAATAATCCAAAATAAACATAATAACAAAATATCATGTTATTACCAAATAGGAATAACTTATAACTTATTTAAGCTTTTTATATCATGTATCCTACGTAAACTGAACCTTAGACATACTAATACTTTATTTCACAGTCAAGTAAGCATTCTCCAAATACATTTCATACAAAACTTTTAATCTCAATTGCTAGAACAAATTAAAAAAAATTAAATTCATTATTCTTTCAAGACTTCATATAGCATGCATCGTTAAAATCAAGTTTATTTATTTAAACTCATACCTAGTCCCTATTTAATGTTCAGTACCTCAAAATCAATTAAATTAATTGAAACACTGTTTACGTAAATTCTTCAAGTAAGGCTCGAGCTTTTATCCTATGGCTCATGCTTTTTATCCATAGCTCGAGCTTCTTGTCCATGGCTCGAGCTTTGCCTCTAAGGCTCGAGCTGTTTACCCATGGCTCGAGCTTTGCTTCCAAGGCTCGAGCTTTTCTTTTAAGGCTCGAGTTTTTTGTCCATGGCTCGAGCACTGTAATAGCGGATCGAGCACTGTTACGCGAATTTACCCAGAAATTCTACTGTGAATTCGTTCTTCATTGTTAAGGGTCCTAAGCTCCGATCTAAGTCCTATACAATCTATATTAATTTATTTTAGATGATTGAACATGTAAAAATACAACTTAAACACCAAATCACACATCAAAATTCAAGAATCATTTAAATCAAGAATATATATGTAAACATATAAAACTTTCTATTCTAAACCAATTCAAGTATGCCAAATTATTCAATTTTAATGTTTAAGCATTCTAGAATTTCCTAGGCATGTATAGAAACATAAATCAAAGGGAAAGAGATAGAAGAAGAACATGCCTTAAATTTTTGGATCGAAAGTTAAACTTCTTTTTCCTTAATCTTTTTCTCTAAAAGTTCTTCTCATTCTTCCTTCCTCTTCCTCATTCTCTCTTTAACTCTGTCTCTCTATAAAATATATTACGTTATATATTTCTAACCCCTTTTTACAAACCTATAGTTATATATTTATAGGCTAAATAATAACCCTACTCCTTTTCCCAATCAAAGTCAACTTAATAAAGAAAATAATAAATACTAAAATATTAAAAAGGTAATCTATATAATTTACGTATATCCTTATTAAATAAATAAAAATATATACATCAGATATTTATTAATACTAAAGTTACCATAATATTAAAAGGTAACTTAAAATATAATACATATATAATCTATGTATATCCTTATTATATAAATATATAAAATATATAAAATATATACATCAGATTATTTATTAATACTAAAGTTATTATAATATTAATTAATAAATTACTTTCCTTTCATATATATATGTATATACATATACAATTATCCATGGGTAATTATCCATACGTATTAAACCTCTTATCCAAGTAGTCCATGGGACCTAATTGATTAGTCTATTACTGTTAACCATAACCATAACATAAAATAAAACATTTAATCATTTAATCTACAATTAATCAAACACATCATTTAAGCACACAATCTAATTAAATAAATAATACAAATAACACATAGACAAAATACAAGTAACACATAGACAAATAGCCAATTAATCAAGTAACACTTAATTCAATTAAACACATAAGCAATTAGTCAAATAATCAATTAAACAATTAAAAATATAATTAAAATAAATAAATAAATACTGAGACTATCCTTTTAAAATTTGGGGTATTACAGACTAGTAGCGTGTATGAATTATATTTGAACAATGAAAATGACCGTAATTCCCTTAGATGACCTCAAGTTTGGGTAAGGACGAGGATAATGATCTGGACCCTTACAATACTGGTCATTTATAATCATAATGGATCGTTAAAGATTGATGACTCTGATTTCAAGTTCATGTTGAAACCCTAAGCTCGCGAGGGGTAAAATAATCATTTCAAGTTAAAGTTATAAAATGTGGTTTGTGCCAATGGAAAGGTGGCTTAAAAAGCATCAATATAGACTCAAGAATGACTTAATTTGGGTTAGAAATGACCAAGTTATGATTTGTTAAAGTTTGGTTAATTCGAGCAATTTAGACAACTTCAAAATTTTCTAAGTCTGGGAAAATCCGATTGATCAGATTTCAATCCGATTGATCAGATCGAAAGCATATTTCGGAGGGTTTCAAAATATTCTAAGTATGGGTAAATCCGATTGATCGAATTGAAATCCGATCAATCAAACTGAGCCTAGAATGTGAACAAGGGCTCCCAAGAGAACTCTGATTTGATCTTACCTTGCAATTATGGTAATGTACATATTCATACAACTCAAAATTTGTCCCAAAGTAGTCACATACATAAATATATAAGTAAAATGATTTACAAGCATAAAACAAGAAAAATAGACAAATGCCCTTAGGTTTGCATTTCTTGCCCATCTATTCCATTTCATTTAATTAGTTGCAAAAGAATGTTCAAAATAGATAATTACATGCCCCAAATTACATTTGAAGTGGTCTAAAAGAATTTAAATACAAGTCTAAACCTTTAAGGTCACATTTACAATGCTTTACAAAAGAAAATACATCAACTAAGCCTTAGTTACAAAATTGTCGAAAAATGCCCTCGTCAACCCTAACTACACATGTGAGGGTTTGTCCTCAACTGTGTCATTGCTATAACCTGAAAAATATTAATGAAAGGGGTGAGCACGGAGACTCAGTAGAAGATGCTTAAGGCGCAAACTTTGGATTTCCTTGAGCCACACATCACATGTTAGGGATAAAAGAAAACCGGGATTATACATTGGAGATTTTATGAAATTTTAACCACATTTCAATCTAATCAATGGCATAGATACAACTTTGTACAATATGAATGTAATTCCTAAACTTGGTCTCAAATCGACCCCAATCCCTACCTACGCTAATTGACTTTACTGAGCTGAGATTGATACTATCCCGGCCTCTAAATCGACGACCATTTGGGGCCTAGTATCAACGTTGCACGTCCTACACCGGCCGCGCTCCCTCTACGTCAAGTTAGCACCGGGCTTACGATAGCCAGTCTATCTCTAAATTCCTCTTTCCCGCCCATCTTAAGATTGCTAACTTATCAATCTCATTCAACTTTTCCCATCATTTTAAAATGGCTTAAATGTCCTTCTAGTTCAATTTTCCCACCATGCCAAGCATATGAATGCAATTGCATCAACTTGACCTCTATTTCAATTATACAATAGTAATGGCATCACATGGCATTCTCAATACAATAAATACACGCATGGCATTTTCCACAACTTAATTTTAAACATGGCATGCCATGGAACTCAACGACAAGTATCACATTCCTCATACTTTAACTATAAGCATACATATCATCATTTTCACATCATCATCATACTATTAGCATTTAGAATTTAGCATCTTCACTAATTGGAAACATCATGCTTCACACTTAGCACATAAGGCACATTTAATCACTACACTTAGCATGCTTTTATCTCATCATCTTCAACTATCATGTTGTTTACAAAACTTGCATTTTACATAGAATAAATGAAGAATCATTGAAGATTACTCAATAAAAGGCAAAGTTTGAGTCATTTGAAATCCCTACCTCAATTGTGTGTAACTGAAGATGTAAGAACTTACTTCGATTTTTCTCTCTCTAAAATTCTTACACTTCAACAGAATGAAAAAGTTCAAAAAACCTCCCTCTCTCTCTACTCGTATAGTCTATTTATAGACCATCACCAAATTCTCACCAACTTATTATGTGAGCCTCAGATGTTGGGCCTAACTCTCAGTGTTATGTTATGGGCTGAGCTCAACTGTTCAGTCCGATCCTTCTTTCGTGGGTGTTGGGCTCATTGCGGTACCCTTTTTGCTTGGGCTTGGACCTACCATTCAATCTGATACCTCACTCGTGGGTCGGGTCTGGTCCAATCCATCTTTGGCATCTTCAATTGCCCTCATAATTACCCCTTAGTAAATAAGGGGGTAATTATTATCGGAGGCCAATCATGACACTGACGGCTTAAGAAGACCTCGTGGGAAAATGGACAGTCGGATTTAAAACCGATGCTTCGAGATTCCAAAGAAACTCCTCGTTTTCCTGACGCTTCGACCTTCGGGCCCACTCTGTCCTTATAAGTATCAAAGACGTTCCCTCAAACCTTTTTTACTGTCTTTATCTTGCATCACTGTTGGCCAAATCTTTGCTTGCCTCTCTTCCTTTTTAGTCAAATCAAATCAAATCAAATATCCTCCGGCGAACCTCTGCGAAAGCTCCTTTTTCCAGCAATCTTGCAGTAATCTATGTTTTCTCCTTCTGAGGTTAGTTTCGTTTGCCTTTTTCTTTTGGAAGATCACTTTTTCTCCCTTAAAAACCTCATTCATTTTCACCATGCCTGTAGATCTTGATGTTCTTCACATGAAACTTCATTTCCCTGTCGATATAGAAATTAGAAACTGCCCTAAAGACGTGGATATCTGGACTGGTGCCGGCCTTCTTCCTGGCGAAGTCTTGTTTACCCATCTTCAGTTGAACATCATTAGGTTTCCTTTACATCCTTTCTTTAATTATGTTTTCAACAAACTAGGGATCTCCCTTTTGTAAGTAAATCCAAATTTTTTTAGGATCCTATCCGTTCTGCTACTACTGACCCGTGACAGAGGTCTGGATCTTAACATCATAGATCTTCTTCTTTGTTACAAGGTTAGTAAGATCCGACTTAAGGAACCATTCTACCACCTCTACCCGATTGAAAAAATGTCCATATGCAAAGACACACTCAAGTCTGAAAAGGGTTGGAAAAACAACATAATAGGGGTTAGGGGGGCCTGGTCTTCTCCAACTACAGAGGATTATCTAATCCCGAGCACCTTTGGCATGTGTTCTGTCTCTTCGTATATGAAATTCAAAACACATAAGAACGATTGTCCCTGCAAAATTTGTGTTCCTCGCTTTTGTACTTTCTTATGCCATTCCTTAGGCATTCCTTGTGACGATTTGAGCTGTAGTGTTTGCAGAGATAGGGACAATTACTTGAAGAATTACGTTCTGAATGACGTTCCTTCCTACTTAGACCTCCTTACCTCAGACAACCTTCTCGCCATTTCAGCCCTCGGCCGCACAATGAGCCAGCTCCAGATTCTTTCATTCGGCAGAAGGAAGAACCCTCCCCGGCAACTTCTTCTCCTGCCTCGGCTTCTTCTTCGGCCACTATTTCTGACACCACTCCGAACGTAGTGGCTGCTGATCCTGCCGTTAGCGTTCCTTCTTCCAATCCGAACGCACCTCCTCAGGTCAATACTAATTCTGCTGTTACTGCGGGTGCTCAGGATAAAGAGCGAGGCAAAAGGCCTCATCCTGACAGTGCAGCCGACCTTGATGATGTATCTCATACAAGAAGGATCTGAATTTCTGGGTAGGGTACACTCTTGCATCGCCTAGTCAATTCTACTGCCCCCTCTGGGCCTACTACAGCTGCGGCTTCTGCTTCAGCTTCTGTCTCTGCCTCTGCCTCTGCCTCTGCAACGTCACCATGGACTCCTCGATTTGCCCGAACAAATGGGACATTCGTGAAGACGAACGAGACCATGTTCAAGGATGGTCAGACCGCTATGGCATATTACAGGGGCATGTGGACTCCCAGGGACATTGAAACAGCTAAAGGTCTATCCCAAAAGGAGGTGTTCAGCCGCTTTCCCTTATCTGCCATGGAGGTAATTTTTATCTCCCAATCAGAAAAATCTTTATGCTTAACCCCCTCTGACCATGCGATCGGTTTAACCGGTGTTCATGCATATCTCTGCAGACCCTGTTTGGTATGATGGCCATGCAAAAGCAGGTGGAAATAGGGAACGCCAAGGCTCGAAAGTTCTCTGACAGCCTTGAGGTGGCCCATAAAGAGAATAACATCCTCACCACCAAAAACACAGAACTGTTCGTCCAGCTTGGAAAAGTTGAAAAAGAGAGAGACGCTCTGAAAAGGGAAACCGATTCTCTTCAGGATGAGAGGGATGCCCTTCACCTTGAGAAGAGCGTTTGGCAGACCGAGCGCAACTCGTTTAAGGACGAAAAATCTGAACTCCAGCGCCTTTTGGCTGACGAACAGTCCGCTCGGATGACCTTCGAGAAGAGAGCCCTGGAGGAGCGTGACGCTCTGCTCAACACCATTAGCAAGGTGAATGGTGGTATGCTGGCTCTTCACGCCCGATTTTCAAGGGTTGGGGCTCTCAGGTATGCTCAGGGGTACAGAGAGGGTTTATTCGACCGTGCTCCTACCGACAGGCAGACTGGTTCCACTCCGGACAAAGTTGATAAGGATCTAGAAATTGATCCTCTAGGAGTCTATGTTGATCCAGACTCCACTCCTGCTGAACACATTTTTGATGAGTGTCAGGAGATTGCTTCCTCCAGGGTCACTACAGTTCCCTCGGTCGTTCAGCCTCTGGACGTTCCTCCTCTGTCTACTATGGTCCCCTCTTCAACCGCTACTGAGATTGGGCCCCAACAAAACGATTCAGTTATTCATCTCGACTCCCCACCTCGTGAGGATGGGACGACGAATGAAAATGAAGAGGCGAGTCAACACAATCAAGAGGCTGACAGAATAGAGGCAGCTAGCTAGGACTCTTCTAATATTTTAATTTCCTGCTCCTTTATAGTTATGTCATCTGTATGCCTTATCTTTTGTAACCTCAGATCATATCATGAATGAGATGCCAACAACATTGACTTTATCTGTGCATGGGCGGTAACAACCAACTTCACATTCATCTACTTTACAATGTCTGGCGCTCGGCTTATAATGCCAGCTGCCACTTACTTTTTATTTTTGAACAAATACTTAGCAAGTGCCTAGCGCTCGGCTAAAATGCCACTTGGCTTTTTATTTTTTAGTAAGAGTTTGGCGTTCGACTCATAGTGCTAGCTGCCACTTACTTTGCTCAAGTGCCTGGCACTCGGCTAGAATGCCACTTGCCACTTGGCTTTTTATTTCTTAGCAAGAGTTTAGCGTTCGGCTCATAGTGCCAGCTGCTACTTATTTTGCTTAAGTGCCTTGCGCTCGGCTAGAATGCCACTTGCCACTTGGCTTTTTATTTCTTAGCAAGACTTTGACGTTCGGCTTATAGTGCCAGCTGCCACTTATTTTGCTTAAGTGCCTGGCGCTCGGCTAGAATGCCACTTGCCACTTGGCTTTTTATTTCTCAGCAAGTGTTTGGCGTTCGGCTCATAGTGCCAGCTGCCATCTACTTTGCTATTTTTACTTGATCAATCTCTTAAAGAAGAATATTACTTTTATAAATCTCAGAAACTTGTACATTCGCTTGCATTCAATTGAAAATGAACAAAATTCAACATTGAAACTCTTAACTTTCTATTGATAATACCTCTTTAGAGACGTAGCATTCTAAGGCTTGTTAACCAGCCTTCTGGCCACGGTCTCTAGGGTATATGCCCCCTTTCCTATGACTTCTGCAATTCTGTATGGACCTTCCCATGGTGGCATCATCTTTTTGACTATCCCCACATTCTTTTTCAGAATCAGATCACCTGGTATAAAGTCTCCGTGCTTTACCTTTTTGTTATGGCTATTCGCAAGCATCTGCTGGTAGGATGCGAGCCTTACCGCCGCTGTATCTCTTTTTTCCTCCAGCAAATCGAGGTTAAAC